ATCATGATTACATATATTTTATTTATATTCTAAATATATTATTGTTTAAACCTTTAACCTATTTTTTTTTTTTTTTTTTTTTTACGGATATTTTTATTAAATATATGTAAAATATCTTTATTTGACTATAATTAATATTTAATTTTTTGTTCTAAATTAATTTTAACCATTTGCTAATATATTATAATTTTTAAAAACGGAGTAAAAAAATAAAAAAAAATAGAAAAAAAATAAATAAATGACTGAATTAATATAAAACAGTCTAAAAAAATTTTTCCTTTTAATAATTTAAAAATCTTTCCTTTATAAAATATATTTATTTATACATTCCTTAATAATTTCTTAGTTTTTAATAAATATATATATATATATATATATATATATATATTTTTATATATTTTTATATATATATATATATATTTATTTATGAAACGATAAACAATTTTTATCCTAAACAGTGTGGTTATTTATATCTTAATTTTTATAAGTTCTTTTAATAAATTAATTTTAATAAATCTAATAAAATTAGAGACTATAAATTAGAGCTTTTATTAAAAATATCTTATTATATTAAATAAATAAAAAAAAAAGAATAAAAATATATATATATAATATTTTTTTTTAATATTACCATAAATAAATAAATATATGTAATTTTTTTAAAAATTATAGTATATTAAGAATATATTGTAAATACAATAATATTTTCTTTTTTTTTGGTTATTTTTTTTTTACTTCCTTCTTTAGTCGCCTTTTATTTATTTTAAAGTATAAGGATGTCATGTTTTGTTAAATAATGATATTTCATAAAATATTATATTAAATAAATACTCAAGAAACAAACTAGTTTTAAATCACTATATTTATTTTTGGGTAAACTAATAAATAAATAGTTTAATTTTTTTTTTTTTTATAAATAATCATCTATTTATTTAGAAACATATAAATTTTTTTTTTTAAATCAAACAAAAACCTTATTTTTTTATTCAAACAAAAAATTTTTTTTTAATTGAGTCTTTAACAAAAAATTAAAGAAAAAAAAATATATACAAGAAAATAAATATATATAATTCTAAAATATTTAGTATAAAAAAATATATATATAATCATCATTATCCCTCCCACTCCTCCTCCCCCCTCCTGAAAGAAAACTTCATTAGAATAGAGTATATTATATTTCGTTAGTTTTTCTAAAAATAATTATTCTTATATTATTAAATAATATAAATGAGTCTTGCATATTTCAATAATAATTTATGACTGATCTAGATATTCCCATAGAATATAAATATGCTTCGAATAAAAATTCTACATTAAAATGCAAGAAATATATATATATATATATATATATATATATATAAATATATATATATATATTATATATGTATATATATTTATTATAAATTATTAGGTTATTTATTTATTTTAGGCTTATTATTAAAGTATAGTATTAAGTCCAGGGTTTACATTAATTTAAAGTGGGATAAAGTTGAATTTGACTATATTGATATTGGTTTGGTGTTTAATAATTAAAAAAGAAATACAGGAAAATTACTAATGTTTTTAATTTATTTTTGTATTTTTTAAACTTATATATATATACTTTAAACTATATAAAATAATGAATTTTCTTATATTTATATATTTTTTTGTTAATTTGTTTTAGTATAAAAAAGATCACCATATACATAATAATTTATAATTAAATTTATATATTCATATTAGAAAATATTAATTAAAATATTTATATTTATTAAATATTGAATACTTAATACAAATATTTTTTTTTATTTAAAAAAGAAAGAAAAAATACTATCTATTTAATAAAAACAATATATATAAACATCTATTAATATTTTTAAAATTTCTTTTTAAATACAAGTTTGATAAAATATATAATAAAATCAAAAAACAAAGTTAATTATTTAATTAAAGCTAATTCTATAACTTTTATCTAAAATACCTATTTTTAAAAAAAGAACTAATATATAAAACAGAAAAATAAAAGTTATATATTTATAAAAAATATTTCCTTTTATTATTATCAATTTATATTATTTTATTATTTTATATTTTATTCACTAACACCTAATCCTTAGCAATTATATCTAATTGATGATCTTTTTCTAACTAAACTAGGTAGAGACTTTTCCATCCTTGAAAACTCCATTTAATCTTCTCTAAATATCTTAATTTTATTAAATAAGAAATTAGGAAATATTTTTATTAACAATTCCATTATTAAAGCACCCGAACCTACTCCTATACATATTAAATGTTAATATAATGTTAATTAACTAACACCTACATATTCTCCTCCAAATTAGATCATGAATAACTATATTATAAAAGTTAAAATTATGATTAACCAAAATAAGTAATTATTAAAAAGTCCAGTGAATACATTTATTTCATGTCTTTCTAATTTTCGAGCATTAAATTCATTAAAAATTTGCAATAATACAAATGCTTAAAAAAATATTGTAAAATGAACACCTTTTTCTTATGAAAATTTGGTAATTCCAACCGAACTTTATATACCTAACCATTATGGGAATTTAAATAATATTAAAATTAAAACAGTAATTTAATATATGCTTTATCCAACAATATTTCGCCACCTTTATAAAAAGTATATTTTAATGTATATTTAATTTTTTTTTTTAAAAAAAATAATAATAATAATAATAATAATGATAATTAATAATAACATTAAAACATATTTTTTTATATATTACATGTTAGGTGTTATAATAGAATCATTTCTTCCATAAGGTTATCTTAGTAAAAGTAAATCGGAAGGATTTTCAGTTGATAAGGCTAGAGAAGCAAAAGTATCCATTATAATATTTACCCTTATTATTATTATGATTAATATTTAAAAAGAAAAAAAAAAAAAAAAAATACCAAAGCATTTAAATAGAATTTAAAGGAGATTATTTAATAACTACAGCACCCATAAAACACATAAATAAAGCAACAGCATTAACAGTTAATTAAAATTAAATAAACTTTCTAATAGAATCATATATATTTCTTCCATATTTACATGCGGTTACAATGCTGACGAAATTATCATCTAATAGAATAATACCTGCAGCTTCTTTTGCAACTTCTGTACCTGCAATACCCATAGCGAAACCAACATCTGCTTTTTTTAAAGCAGGAGCATCATTAGTTCTATTATATAAATATAAATATAAATATAAATATAAATATAAATATAAATATAAATATAAATATATTATATTATATTATATTATATTATATTATATTATATTATATTATATATCCCATCTCCTGTTACAGCTACAACTTCTTACATTTAAATTAATCCTGTAACTAGCATATATTTATCATCAGGAGTAGATCTTGCTAGGATTTTTAGTTCTTTAACAATTTTTTTGAATATATCAAAATTAAATATTTTAGCTTCTCCTCTATCTTCAATATTTTATGCATATGGATTATCATATGCTATTCCTCCAATTAATTCTCTGAACTTTTTACCTTCCATTACTTCATAATTATTTTAATTTACCTTATAATCCTAAGTCAGGATTTTACAATCTTTTGCTATTGCAACAGCTGTATTAAGGTTATCACCAGTAACCATTCTGACTCTAATTCCTGCTCTATAGCATATTTATATTGCTTTTGGTATTTCGGTTCTTATTGGATCTTTTATTCCTGCTATCGCTATTAGCGTTAAATTAGTTTCTAAAAAATTTTCGTTTAAAGATTAAGCTGATGTTCCTGGTTATATTTCTATATCCTTATAAGCTAGAGCTAGTGTTCTCAGCGCTTAATCAGCAAATTTTTTTATTACTTAAACTTTTATTTTCTCTTTTTAATTAAAATCGCATATTATGTTTTCATTTCTGCACTTTATGAATGTACATCTTTCTAAAATTATCTCACTAGCTCCTTTTACATAAACTCTAAAACAATTCGGACTATATTAATAAACAGTAGTCATTTTTTTTCGTGTACTACTAAATGGAATTACCCTTAAAATATTATCACAAGGCCTAAAATTTTAATAATAATATCCAAGTTAATCTACTAACTCTATCAGGGCACATTCAGTTTTATTTCCTTTTTTTATTAAATTTTATATTTTTATTGATTTGTTTGTATTATAAAAAACCTGTTTATATCCATTTATTTTTTTATATGTCCTTCTCTGGATAAGCAGATGAATTTATACATATACATTCTGCAAGACATGATGATAATGTTTGAGCTACTTAGTCTCTTCTTATTTATTCTCTTCTATATATTCTATTATCAATATACATATTTGAAACAGTCATTATATTTTGGGTTAAAGTACCTTATTATTTTTTTATAAATAAATTTAAATAAATAATAACCTGTTTTATCTGAGCATATATTAGTTACTCCACCCATAATTTCACATGAAGAAAGTTATTTAACTAGATTATTTTCTTCTTTCATTTTATTTACTGAATAAGCTAAAGCTATGGTAACTGCCAAAGGTAGACCTTCAGGTACTGCTACAACAATAATAGTAACTGCAACCAAAAAGCTGTTAATAATTTCTTTTAAACTTTCAATGCATAAAAAACAATGTTCGCCTAAAATTATATTCATTATTAAGTGTATCAATATTGCACACATAGTTAGGCAAGCTGCTACTGAGCCTACTTTTCCTATATCTTCAGCCACTGTTTCGAGTTTTTTTTATAAAGGGGTTGGAGGTTATTCTTCCTATAATTTCTCTTTTAATTTTCCTAATTATGTATTTGAACCTACTGTACAAACTAATATAAGACCGCTCCCATCCATTACCTAAAAATCAAATTTTCAAACAAAGTAAGAAAATAATTACTTTTGATCCAGAAATTAAGAAATAAGTATCTTATGAAACTTCACCTGATAAGGCAGGGCATTTAGTAACTAAATCACTTTCTCCTGTAACACTTGATTCATCCATACTAATTTCACTTCCTTCAAGTAAAATACCGTCTACAGGCATTACGTCTCCTATTTAAATATGTAAAAGATCCCCTACAAGTAACTCTTTAGAATCAATTTATATAACCTGTATATTAGTACATATTATTTTTTTATTTTTTATTTTTACTTTTCCATTCCTTGTAACTTAAATATTCATTTATTCACGTTTTTCAGAAAGTTTCTAAAACTATTTTTCTTTAACGTAATTATTTCCTGCTGAAATACTTATTATAATTATCACTGCTAATATTATTGTTCCACCTTCCATCCAGCCTTTTTAAAAACCATCTTCTAAAATACCTATAATTTAATTTTAATTTTTTATTAATAAATATTTTAATACCTATTGTTGTTGATACAAAAGATGCAATGCATAAAATTTGTAACATTAAATCTTCAAAACAATCCATTATCATTTAAAATAAAGTTTTTCTTTTTTTCAGAGCAGGTTTATTATCACCATAAAATATTTTGCGAGCTTTTATTTCATCTGGTTTTGTATTTATTCCTGCTTTTAAATTTGTGAATAATTAATCTAATAAACCTTTTGCACCTCCAAGGACTATTAATTTACTTTAGCTTACTTTATCTCTTATATTATCTATTTCAAATAAACTTGATAATTCTTAAGGATCTATTATAAAATTTAAAGCAAGTTCTTCAACTTCTTCATCCTTTCTTGATTGAACTTCTTAAACCATTTAATAAAATATAAATATTTTTTTAATTATTATTTTTATAAATTAATTTTTTTTGATGTTTCAAAAGTATTAAAATAAGATGAATATTTAAAAATAATAATAAAAATAAAAAGATAAATACAAATAAAATATAAATCCAAATTTTATAAGTATAAATTTAAAATAATAATTGCGTTTATACAATGAGTTTTTCTATTTTTATTATAAATTAATAATATTACTAAATATATAGGTTTTTAGATAATTTTTCAATATTATCTTATTTTAAAATTTAAATTTATAAATATTTTTAATTTTTTTATAAAAATATTGTTCGATACTTACTTGATTCATGTATTAAAATAATTTTTTTTAAATATTTACTAAATTTGAATATATAATTTATATAAAATTAGAATATAAAAAATTTATTATTATTATTTGTGAATACTTTTGTAAATTAAAAATAAAAATGCATTTATTATATAAAATAATTCTAAAAATAATCCCAGTTTTATAATAATAATCTAATTTAATATTTTAAATAATATGTAATTTTTCTATATTTTTTTTTTAAATTTTTATTAAGAAGCTAAACATCTATAAAAAAAGACGTTTAATTTTTTTGTTTGTATTTAATTTTACTATATAATTATTCCTTTTATTTTAGAAAAAAATAAAAATGTAATTATAATAAGTAAAATAAATCTTTTCAAAAAGAAAATAATAAAAAGAGGATAGAAATATTGAAATATATATATTAAATAACGTAATTAAAAATCATTTTATCATTGATATTGAAATTTCTTTAAAAATAAAACTAAAATATATAATAAACTTAATATTTAAAAATAAAAAAAATATATTTTTATAAAATAAGGATGTATAAGAAATTTATATTCTAAACAAAATTTTTAATAACTTTAAAAAACTTATAATAAAATTATAAATAATTTGTTTATAAAAACAAAAACAAAAAATAATTTAATAATTAAAGTTATAATATCTATTTTTCGTAAGCAAAATTTTAAAATTTAACATATTTAAAAAAGATCCTATAATTTTGTATGTTAGCTTTTATTATACAAAGGTGAAAAAAAAAATTCACAATTATTTATTTATACTCTTATTTTATAATTAAGGTGGATGCAGAAAAATTAAATGTATTGAATATTTATATGTAATAATAGATTATAATAATAATATAAATTAATTTGAAAATCTATCATTAAAGAAACATAAAATCAACAAAATATTATTTCATAATACAATTAATTTATTATCCTTTTTCACAACTTGTAGTAACTATTAAATCTTTTTCATTATTTGTTAGTTTAAAATATCCAATCTAAGGTAAATCAATTTCTAATTGTTTTCCAATATTTTATTCTAATTTAGCATTATTAAAAATAAAATAGCAACAAAAGTTTTAACAACTTTCAACATGCTAAAGCATTAAATTCTATGTTTATGATATATTTTATGTGAAAATATCATAATTATATATTTAAGTTTAATTCAATTAATTTTTTTTTATTTAAGATGATAAAAATAAGGCTTACTAATTTATGTTAAAAAAATTTATGATCTTTTCATCATTCTTTATTTTAATTGGAGTTAAATAACTTTCCATTTTTATATTATTATTAAGAACAATTAAATTAAAAAAATTAAAATTTATATAAAATATAAAAAATAATATTATTAACAATTTAAATATATATATCAAAATAATGTTTCAACTAATTATAATTTTTTTAAAAATAATAAAGATTAAATATGAATTATAATAATTTGATAAAATTTAAATTAAATAAAAATGTATAATAAAATTGATTTTATAAATAAAATAAATATATTAAAATAAAATTATAAATGAAATAAAAATAAATCTAATATTATATTAAAATAAAATAAAATATTTAATTTATTTTATTTTATTTTATAAATATTTAAAAGT